TATGCTGTGGATATGATCTAGATTTTTTTTTTGGGGGGGGGGAGGGGTGAGTATGACCAGCTGATGAAAGGGAATTGTAGTGACTTTTAGTTTAAGCACTAAGTTTAGTTTTTCTGTCAGTGTGCTTCATGCTGATTAATATGAACAATATTCTTCCTGATAATAAAACACTATTCAGTGTCCCTACCATGTTTGCTTACAGCAGAGAATAAAATATCAATAATTGATGTTTCATAATTTCTTTTTTTACTTCCTGTATGAGCTAAGATTCTCTTGGTCACAAGCATCAGAAACCAACTCTGGCTATTTTAAGAAAAGAGGGGGCTCTATTTGAAAGATACAAGGATATCTCCTAGAACTGAAGATACGTGCAGTAAACCCGAGGTAGCTCCGGGAATATTGGCAGAAGCTGTGTGTGGGCTCACAGAGCACAGCTGTGAGGTACTCAGTGCCAGTGTCACCCATAGTGTGTGTTGGGTGTCCTTCAGGCCACGGCACGTCAGGAGTTCGTATATAGTTGCACTCAGTGCTAAGACTTATTACAGTGAAGGAATAAGGACGCACAACTGGATCAGAATGGACAAAAGCACAGGAAGAACCTGGAGGAACCATCATGCACGCTTTGTTATGCTCTCTCCCCCACGAGGGGTAGCAGAACGCACACGTCTTCAAGTGACAAAAACCTGGAACGTGTGGAATGTTTCTGCCCAGTTCAGCCAATTAGAGCCTTGACACCTAAGGCTTTTGTTGGGGATGCTCCTGTAAGCACCCTCTCTGCATGCCACAATTCCTCATTCCCACCAGAAAAGCAGGTATCCAGCATAAGCCACATTGTTTGCACCACGTAGGCATAGTGAACCACCCTTATTAGTTAGAGACAGGTGAGGACATTCCTGAAATCCAGGTTCCCAGACACCAGCCAGAGGCTCACAAAAAAAAAAGCTTGCAAGCAGGCTTTTTTTCTAAGATAATTTTCTCCAGGTAATTCTTTTATTTTTTTAATTGATGAGAGAGAGAGATAGAGATAGAGATAGAGAGAGAGAGAGAGAGAGAGAGAGAGGGGGGGGGGGAGAGAGAGACATCAATTTATTGTTCCACTTTTTTGCTGGGACCGGTTTGGCTCAATGGATAGAGCATTGGCTTGGGGACTGAAGGGCCCTGGGTTCGATTCCGGTCAAGTGCATGTACCTTGGTTGCGGGCAAATCCCCAGTAGGGGGTGTGCAAGAGGCAGCTGATCGATGACTCTCTCTCATTGATGTTTCTAACTCTCTATCTCTCTCCCTTCCTCTCTGTACAAAAATCAATAAAATATATATTTAAAAAAAAATTTACTGTTCCACTTTTTTATGCATTCATTGGTTGATTCTTGTATGTGCACTGACTGGGGATCAAATCAACAACCTTGGCATATCAGGATGAAGCTCTATTCAACTGGGCAACCCAGCCACGATTCTCTGGCTTCTTAGGGATTTAACTTAAATTCCTCTGGACTTTTGGAGATATCATGAGTTCTGACTTGTTTGGACAGTATCATGGCTAACATAAAGGTATTCGTTTTTCTGTTACAGTAACCCTTTGATTTATACAATAATAGAAAGTTATTTTAATAGAACACATTCTATTGCTGTGTTCTCATCCTCTTAAGTATTTTCTTTTCTATTATATTATTTAAATATCCTAATTTAATTATTTTTATTACATATTTTGTTTTAAATATATTAATATTTTGTAACAAATACTTTCATTATTTGCTACAGAAGAAAAACAGCATTTGAAACTAGGAGTTTGTCAGTTAGTTTTTTAGAAAGCCGTTGACACAAGGATTATCACAAAGATGTGAGATGCTTCAAGTTATTTTAACCTACATACTTATAGTTTTGTTTGCATCTAAGCAAGCATTTAAAAAGAGCTCATGAAAGCAATCTGAGTGCAGAATCTTTCTATATGTTTATAGTTTCTCTCCTAATATTTTATTTTTTTCTCACAGCAACAGGCTTAGGAACAAATATAACAGATTTTTACCAGCATTTAGTCAGTTGGTGAGGGCAGAGGTGTAGATGTGCTGAGAGAAACCACTAATCAGAAGCTTTCAGAATGCAGTGGACAGCAAGCATGTTTAATGGATACAATGAAAAGAGTTCTATTGTACATGTCCATTGTGCAAAACTTAGAAAATATGATAAACCAAAAAATATCAGAAATTTTGACATAGGGTAAATAACTAAGGTTTTGGTCTGTTTCCTTTATATATATAAAATATATGTATAGATATATACATATCCATTTGTATAAAGTATAGATGTTCTAATGTGGTGCTATATAGACTATATAATAAAATAAATGTTATATTAGAGACCTGGTGCCCAAAAATCATGCACAGGGTGGGGTGGGGGTGGGAGTGGTTCCTCAGCCCAACCTGCACCCTCTTGCAGTCTGGGACCTCTGGCTCCTAACCGCTCACCTACTGCCTGCCTGATCTCCCCTAACCACTCTGCCTGCCTGCCTGCCTCATCATCCCTAACCACTCTGCCTGCCTGCCTGATCGCCCCTAACCGCCTTTGCCTGGGTCTTCACCACAGTGGCTTCATCCAGAATGAGATTAGGAAGGTCATTTGGCTGTCCAGTCTAATTAGAATATTATACTTTTTTATTATAGATAATATTAACACAAACAACATTTTAACAAAAAGCAGGCTCATGCTATATGTATTGTATTATTGTCTTTTCCCATCTAAATAAGTGGACACTTTCCCATTAAGCATTTTCCTACAACATGATTTTGTAATGACTTTTGGCAAATGGAGATTAGTTAACAACAGTACAGTATGTCCCTCAGAGGCTGAGGGTTTATAAAGAATTAAAGGATTAATGATACTGAAATATTAACGAGGAACCAGAAGGCTTTGACTCCACCTTCGATATTTGAGGAGTATAATTATGGTTGATCAATAGTTTCACCTTCTACTGGTGGCCTCTGGGGAAACCAGACTCCGGTTAGGATAAGAGTTTAAGGAATGTTCGGGGATGAGGTTAAGAATCTCCAGAGGTTTGTTATAATCATGAAACAGAATTCCAGAGGTCACTAGGAAGGGCTTGTGGATCAGAGAGGGAAGGGTATAGGATTGTACATGCCCCTGACTGGAATCGAACCTGGGACCTTTCAGTCCGCAGACCGATGCTCTACCGCTGAGCCAAACCGGTTTCGGCTTCTTTTTTATTTTTATTTTTTAATATATTTTATTGATTTTTTACAGAGAGGAAGGGAGAGAGATACAGAGTTAGAAACATGGAACAGCTGTCTCCTGCACACCTCCCCCTGGGGATGTGCCTGCAACCAAGACATGTGCCCTTGACCGGAATCGAACCCGAAACCCTTTAGTCTGCAGGCGACACTCTATCCACTGAGCCAAACCGGTTTCGGCCAATAATGGTTGTCTTATAAAGGCCACTCTTTCTTAAAAATACATCCTTCCTTAGGCTCTATGGCATTGCAAGATTCCTGCTAACAACCTCAGTCACTTTTGGGCAGATTCTTCTTTGCTCACCTCTAAAATATTGGTGCTCTATCATCTACCTAGGGTCACTTTCTCAATCTATTCTGGGTGATCTTCTCTACTTTCCATAGCTTCTGGTATTATCTACTGAATTTCATCTTTGTTGGGATAGGTCCAATAGTAAATATACATGGTTAATATCACCATCCTCATAGCAATCTAGTAGTCCTTTCAAAAACATTCTCTCAGTAAACATCAACTTACAGAGATCACTGCTCCAATTTCTAAAGGCTCAATGCTTACATGGGAGTTGGCACAAAAGGACAGTGCTTTAGACATGATCTATCTGGATTTTAACCACAAATATGAAGATTTCCTACTTCACAAAATAGCAACTAAGAACTTTAATACAATTCAGAATAGAACCCTATGGCAATATATAAGATTAACCTCTATCCAGAATTCAGTTCATTTACTGGGATTGTTTGATTAGTGTAATAGACATAATATGGATCTTCCTAACTGCATGTCCTCTGAGCTTATGCCAATAGATACATTTTGCAGTATACTGTTTACAAACCCAGGCACATATGTAACTGTGAAATTGTTGCATAGCAATACATGTTGAAATGTATTAAATGGTCATTAAATATTGAAAATATGCTAATAGTTTTTTTTGGATTCTGAAAATAAAAATGCAAATTTAAAAAATGTTCAGACAATTGTGTGCCCTCTATAGCACATCTGCTCATCCTCAGGGATTTGTGCTCAGTTTGTGTAAAACTACCTTGACAAACTCAAAGTTAAATGAATGTTGGCATGAGGAACCCCCACCCCCAATTTTAGGCCTTGCATGTAGAAAGGAAAGAAAAGCAGCTTTTGGCTGAATATGACATCATCTCAGATAAAACTGGATTCATTGAAAGATAATGGCTCCCCTGTCAGTGGAGACTGCGGGATCACTCATTTAGGGTTTTACAAAGGGGATTTTTTTTTTCATAAAAAATTATGTGAGTGACATAATTTTTAGTCTTCATCTAAGATTTTATGAGTCTATGAAATAACTGTGTACCTGAGGTCTTTAAGAAATAAGAAATAAATGTAACATTGATTTGTAGTTCTCTATATATTTTTAATGTAAGGTGTTGAAAAATATCTTACTAAGAGGACTAATTATCCATAATTTCAGCATTATAAGTTTTTTTTTCAATTTGAGGTATTCCATTTTAATATTCACATACATAGCTATTTTTATAAATGTACAATCATAGTCCTATTTACATTTTGTTTTTTTAATGACTTTAATTATCATGAGATACATTTAAGGAAATAAGTGTGTTTTCCTGGATTTTGAATCTTTAATCCTGAAAAACTACTGGCAGATGTGGTGGGTAGGAGCAATGCATTAAAAATGTTGAAGGCCGCAAGGCTTCTTTGAAAAACTAATTTTTGTGTTTTGTGGGCATTTCCTAAACTGTTTGTATTGCTTTCTCCCCCTAAAATAGTTGATCATGGACTTGCCAGGTTGGTGACAGTATATTGTGAACATGGTCATAAAGCTGCCAAAATCAACCCCCTCTTCACTGGACAAGCCCTGCAGGAGGATGTGCCTGAAATCCAAGCTCTTGTGCAGACCCTGCAGGGACCCTTTAATACCACAGGTAAGGCCCATTGGCAATAGATCTTCCGTGTCAGTTACCTGCCAACAGGTGGGGCTCCTTCCTCTGCTCTTGAAGTACCCATATGCTCACTGGAGTTGAGGCTTTCATGGGGTGAGAGGAGACAGTGAGGAGCACTTTCAGGCACTGACAGGGAGGAGCAGTCCTGAAGTTCTAGAATGGTCTTTCAATAGGGCTCATTTCATCTGCATTCAAAAACCAATAGACAAATAATCAATAGGTATATGAAAAAGTACTCAGGGAAATGCAGATCAAAGCCATAATGAGATATCACCTCACACCTGTTAGAATTGACTATTGTCAAAAACCCAAAAGATGCAAGTGTTGGTGAGGATGTGGAGGAAAGGAATTCTTGTGCACTCTTGGTGGGAATATCATTTGGTGTAGCCATTGTAGAAAACAGCATGGAGGTTCCTCTGCAAATTAAAAATAAAACCATCATTTGATCCAGCAATTCCACTCCTGGGTATTTATCTAAAGGAATTGAAATCAGGATCTTGAAGAGATATCTGCACTGCCGTATTCTTGCAACATTGGTCAATCAATATCAAAAATCTAAAGTTTACTGTAAGAAATATAAGAAATATAAAGTAAATATTTGTTTGTTTTTTTGCATGTGAAATTCGTGATACTTTTTATTTATTTATTTATTTATTTTTAAATATATTTTTATTGCTTTCAGAGAGGAAGGGAGAGGAAGAGAGAGAGAAATATCAATGATGAGAGAGTATCATTGATGAGTAGTCTTATGCAGGCCCCACCCTGGGATCAGGTCTGCAATGCAGGCATGTGCCCTTGACTGGAATCGATGTTCTATCCACTGAGCCAAACCAGCAGGGCAATGTTGGTTTGTTAATTCATGCTGTAGGTTTAAGCAAATGACTGATAACTGATATGGTGCTGAGCTAATGACATTACAAACTTCCTTTTTCTTTGGTTGAGTATCAGAGAGATTTTTTTTTAACCTTTAAATGTTGCTTTGGAATCAATATTAATTTACATTAAGACCAACTGTGTAATGATAAACATTGCTTTACAGATATTTATTAATATTTTGGTAGATAGATATTTGAGATAAAGGTAGGACATAAGCTATGTAACTATGAAGCAGATGAAAAAGTAATTTTGAAGTATTTGTTTAAATGACTCTAGAATCAAAATTTGACATAAAACAGTATGGATGTATGCTTGGGAAGAGAGATTTTTTTTCTCTTCTAGTTTTACTATTTTGGGGCTTTTGATCATGTTTTTAGATTTGCTTCTAGAAAAATGTAGATAAGCACTGATAATGACCCAAGTTATTTGTAATGAAATGCTCCAAATTGAAAAAAATCATTTTGGTATGTTCTATAATTAGTTACATGGTTGATTCTTCTTTAAAAGGATCTCTTTGATTCCATTTCATAGGATTATTGGACATGGGGAAGGACGAGGCCTCCCTTGAGGAAGTATTAGCCTATCTCAACCAAATCTACTGTGGGCAGATGTCCATTGAAACCTCCCAACTTCAGAGACAGGAAGAGAAAGACTGGTTTGCAAGGCGGTTTGAGGAGCTGAAAAAGGAGACGTTTACTACAGAAGAGAGAAAACATCTATCCAAGCTAATGCTAGAATCTCAGGTATAAAAGCAGCAGCTAACAAATGGAATAGGTCAGCTCATTTTCTACAAAGATCTATAGATACTGGAGAGAGGGAATTGGCATTAAATCTCTCACTATACCCCTACTTACCCCCTCCCTATTACTTCAACACAACAGACAATATAACACCATTTTATTCTAAGATGGAAAAAGTAAATCACCAAACAATGGAGCTATTGGTTCTCCTCAGTCAGGATACTTTTTTATATGTGTGTCTATTCACTCTATAAAAGATTATAAAATCCTTAAGATCTCCTCTTTTTATCTCCTGAAGTAATAATAAATAAATAAAAAACTATGCATGGAAGACAAATCAATACAAATTAATGGGATTGAATGTTTGTCAAGGCTATTCTGAGGTCTCAGGCATATCAAGAGGAAAAAAATTTTATTCCCAATAATTCAGACAGTTGGCCAGTTTGCATCCTTAATAAAATAGTACTGTGGAGCCTGATACTGAAACTCGGGTACTGGTTCAGGCTGCAGAAATCTGAGGCTCTGCCCAATGGAAGAACACACATTAAGGGGTTCCTCTTGGGTTAAGTTATTCTACTTCTCAGGCCATTTTCTCTTCATCCCTTACTGTGGCCGGTGTCCCTGGCAAGGTGTTCCTGCTGGACTCAGGGTGACATGTTTTTCTCTGGGTTAGGTAGTGAAGGGCACAGCTGCAGCCATTTGAGGTGGTGTGGGGTCTTTACACATAAGTATGTCTGATTTTGACCTAAGTAGTCAGCTAATGTGTAACTAAGGTGTCTGATGTGATGTCCCATAGGAATTTGACCATTTTTTGGCCACCAAGTTTGCCACAGTGAAGCGATATGGAGGCGAAGGAGCCGAAAGCATGATGGGCTTTTTCCATGAGCTGCTGAAAATGTCAGCCTACAGTGGGATCACTGATGTCATCATTGGGATGCCCCATAGAGGGAGACTTAATTTACTGACAGGCCTTCTGCAGTTCCCTCCAGAGGTAAGATACTTTCTATGACATACAATAAAACCGATGGTAATAATTTCTTTTAGAAAACTGACTAAGTATATGAATCATTGGCCCAGGATATAGCTTAGTTAACTGATGGAATTCATTACTGCTGGATAGAATGGGTATTTAGGTTGATTTTTTTTTTTTTTTTTTTTGGCATATCCTTACATAGGTTCGTTCTTTCAGGGCATTTAAAGTTTAGTTTATTTCCTTAAGGATGATATGAATAGATAAATTCTGTTCTTTGAAGCAAAATTTTCTTACTTCATAAAATTGTTCTAAAGAACACAAAGATTTGCACAATTTTATACAATTTTACCTTCTGAGAAGTCAATGTTACCTTTCAGTTATTTACAGAGTTTATAGTTTGTACTAAATAGATTGTTTTAAAACCAATGATACATTGCTATCTTAAGACACTTAACCTTTTTTGGGCAAAGGCACACTTGTTTCATGAAAAAAATCACGAGGCACACCACCATTAGAAAATGTTAAAAAATTTAACTCTGTGCCTATATTGACTATATATAAAGTAATTCTCTTGAATAGGAATCAAATAAACACAAAGAAAGTATTTTATAATTACTTTATTATGAAATATTAAGTAAACAAAATGGTGAAAAATTATAAAATTCTTGTCTTGTCTGCACCTACGGCACACCAGGCAACATCTCTGTGCCGCGGAACAGCGGTTGAAAAACGCTGTCTTAAGAGACCATCTAAGTGAGTGGTTTTATAGATAATTGGATCTTGGTATTTCTGTTCAGTCCAACTCAGCTGCTCTACTCTATAAGTAGCTCAAAAGACTTTGGAATCAGGACTGAAGATCTGATGTCAGAGAACATCAGAGAGATTTGATATTTAACAAAGTTGTGGCCATTATGTGTGAATAAGCCCCATTACTGTCCTTTTCCAGGGGATTAAAAATAACTACAAATGTTAAAGGGACTGTCAAAATTAGATGGAGTGAACAAAATTAGACGTGCTGTCTTTAAGAATATTAGAAAATCTAGGTAGTATCTTGTTTAGGGGCCAAGCTCTACCACTATTACTCAGAGCTCAGTGTTTCTGATGCTAAGAGATTGATAATCAGATTTTAAAAGACAAATACCATAGAAAAGGTAGTGTATGACAGGATAAAGTAATTGGCAGACGGAGCATGTGCTTAGGTACATGTGTTGCCGAAGCGAGCACCACGTGCAGAAATTCTTAAACCAGAAATTGCATTCCTAAAATATCTCGGACAAAGAAATCACTCAAAGATGCAAAAGTGATAAATGATTATACCTGTGATAAACACATCTGTATATACACTATGTATGGTTCTATTTGTAGATAGGTAATTAAGCTTTTGCAAACTAGAGAAGCTTCGGGGTCACTCAAATGATTTGGCAAACTGAGAATAACATGCTGTTTTTGGTTAATACTTTGGTTTGAGACCTAGCTTTGTTATAGGACCTTTAACAATTTAATTTCTCTTGTTCACTTTAAAAATGGGTAATAAGATTTGTCTCATAGAACACTGAAAATGAAGTCAGACAGTATATGTAGAAAAGTCCTTTGAGTATTGGACTTCTATAGTTTTTTTTATTGTTTAAAGTATTATATATGTCTCCGTTTTCCCTGATTGACCTCCCCCCCATCTACTCCTACCCCCAAAGGTAAGCCCCCACTGCCCCAGTGTCTGTGTTCATTGGTTATGCAAATATGCATGCATACAAGGCCTTTGGTTGATCTCTCATCCCTTACCACCACTCCCCTGCCTCTTGTCTCTGGATCTATTTTTGTTCATCAGTTTATGTTAATCATTATATTCCACATATGAATGAGATCATGTTATATTTATCTTTCTCTTACTGGCTTATTTTGCTTAGTATAATGCACTCCAGTTGCAAATGGTAAAAGTTCCTTCTTTTTTATAGCAGCATAGTATTCCATTGTGTAGATTTACCCCAGTTTTTTTAATCCTCTCATCTGCTGATGGGCACTTGGGCTGTTTCCAAATCTTAGCTATGGTGAATTGTGCTGCTATGAACATATGGGTGTATATATTCTTCCTGATTGGTGTTTCTGGTTTCTTAGGATATAGTCCTAGAAGTGGGATTACTGGATCAAATGGGAGTTCCATTTTTAACTTTTTGAGAAAATCCCATATTGTTTTCCATAGTGGCTTATGCTCAATTAATATTTGACAAAGGAGGCAAGAGCATAAAATGGAGTCATGACAGCCTCTTTGATAAATGGTGTTGGGAAATTTGGTCAGATATATGCAAAAAAATGAAACTAGAGCAACAACTTACACCATATACACACAAAAAAACCAAAACCTCTGTTTTTTAGGACTTAAATGTAAGTTGGGAAACCATTAAAATCTTAGAAGACTTCATAGGCAGCAAAATATCAGACATATGTTGTAGCAATATCTTTACTGATACAGTTCCTAGGGAAGGACTAAGGAAAAAATAAACAAATGGGATGACATCTATAGTTTTTTAGATGTAACTTGAGCTAAAAATATAGTTGTCTCCTTTCTAAACAGGATTAAGTTCTATTATTTCCCTCTCGACTTTTAATGAAATTAATTGAAAAAGTTATTTTGAAAACATACTCTAACAAGTGTATTTAAGAAAATTATTGTGTCTACTGCAAGGCAGAGGTAACTTACAGTCTATGTCATGTTAGACTCCTCATAAAGTGTTACGTCATTTGATTTTGAAGATATTCAAAAAGTTCTGTGCATTGGAGCAGTTAGAAGTTTGTGCATATCTTTAAATAATGGATGGTAATAATTATAAAAGCATGTGCATGAAGTTCCTTTATATTGTATAATTTAAACTAGCCACTTCTCAGTTATGATTAAAAAAACCTTTTTTTTCTTTCTTGTATGTGTATCTGCAATAGCTGATGTTTCGCAAAATGCGAGGCTTAAGTGAATTTCCGGAAAATGTACCAGCCACTGGAGATGTCCTGTCTCACCTGACCTCCTCAGTTGACCTGGACTTCGGTGCGCACCATCCCCTGCATGTGACGATGCTGCCTAACCCCTCACACCTGGAAGCTGTCAATCCCGTGGCTGTCGGGAAGACTCGGGGAAGGCAGCAGTCTAGACAGGATGGGGACTACTCTCCGGATGTTTCGGCTCAGCCTGGGGACAAAGTCATTTGTTTGCAGGTACTTCCAGCTTCAGGAAATGTGATCAGGGTGTGGGAAGATAAAGGAGAAAGAATGTCGAAGTTGGTAGGTCTGAAAGGAGATGGCAGGTATTCAAGATGAAACTGAGATAAACTTTTAGGGAAAATAATATTCTGGGGTTGTTTTAAAAATCAGTAACAGATATGAAGTCTAGAGTCAAGGCAATAGACTTCAGACTGGTTTTCACTGTGCTTTTCCTTTCTCAAGTTATGATTAATTAAGGGGTTATTGACTGGCATACCTACTACTGCTGGGAGGATGGATGTCATTACTTCTATGAAAGTATGGCCTTCTAGGAAACCACCTGGTACTCATACATCTAACAAGGCTACACGAGTCTGGATTTATTTATTTATTTTTTGCTTGTTTGTTCTAAAGTGACGGTTTTTGGTATTAAGGTAAAGAATACAAGTTATTGCCCTCCCTGGTTTGGCTCAGTGGATAGAGCTTTAGGCCGGAGAATTGAAGGGTCCTGGGTTCGATTCCAGTCAAGGGCAAAGGCACGTACCTCTGTTGCAGGCTCAATCCCTGGCTCTGGTCGGCGGCATGTGGGAGGCAACAATGTGTCTCTCTCACATCGATGTTTCTCTTTCTCTGTCTTTCCCCCTCCCTTCCACTTTCTAAAAGTTAATCAATGGAAAAAATACCCTTGGGTAAGGATTAACAACAACAAAAGGATACAAATTATTAGTGTGGCTCTTGCTTCCCCAGCACCTCCCCCAGATTTTTCATAACCCAAAAGGTATCTTTTAGAGGTTTGGATTGTAGGTCCCTTTTAAAAAAAAAAAATTTTTTTTAATTGATTTTAGAGAGAAGAAGGGAGAGGGAGAGAGACAGAAGCATCAATGATGAGAGAGAATCATTGATTGGCTGCCTCCTGCATACCTCCTACTGGGGATGGAGCCTGCAACCTGTTGACGCTCAACCACTGAGCAATGTCAGTTGGCTTGCATATATATATATATATATATGTGTGTATATATATATATATATATATATATATATATATATATATATATACACACACACATACATACACACACATACATACACACACACACACACACTGTTTCCCCGAAAATAAGACAGTGTCTTATATTAATTTTTGCTCCCAAAAATGCGCTAGGTCTTATTTTCAGGGGATATCTTATTTTTCCATGAAGAAGAATACAGTACACATTTATTGTTAAATGAAAATAAAGGAAATTTATTACCTGTATACAGTACGGTAGTACGGTAATTGTCAACACAAACCAGACAAACTGTGAATCCTACAGTATCAAGAATTTACTCATTTATTCAATGACAATCATGTCATCATCTTCTGGAACATCATCATAACAATCCAATTCCTGAATTTCCTGGTGAATTTCTTGTGACTCCATTTCTTTCAGAATCAGTGGACAAAATCTCTCATGTTTAGCCTAGGTGGGGCCTTATTTTCGGGGGATGCCTTATATTTCACTCAGAAGGATACCTGTAAGTAGGTCTTATTTTGAGAGGATGTCTTATTTTCGGGGAAACACTGTGTTCGTTTCATTGTGAACCTTTAACTACTAGGGCACATGTGTCAAACACAAGGCCCTCGGGCCAAATCCGTCCCGCCAGGCCTTGCAATGTGGCCCTCACCGCGCTGTCATCACTGCACTCCGCTGCGTTTCCATCACAATGACAGTTTATGACTGTTCAGTAAACCATTTGGCCCGAGATTTAGGCTGGATTTTAGATTTTGGCCCCTTCTCTGATTGAGTTCGACACCCCTAGGGGATAAATAATCCTGGATATCAGTAACCAAGTCTTCAAACTCAACAGAAATCTACAAACTATATATAAGGCAGTAGAATATTTGGCTCTGTATACAGATAACCACGGTATCTTATTCATGTTAATTTTTCATGGGCTAGAAACTTGTGGAAAATACTTGGGGATAGGCAGACTGGATTTGATTATGATACAGCATTGTTAGTATATGAGGTCTGGGTCCAGAGCAAGTCTGCCTAGGAACTGCCATAGTGTGTGGGTTCTTGACTTCACTTAGGAAAGATTTCACAACACGAGTCCAGGTGATTTTGAGAGCATGTTTATTACAGTTGGGGACAGTGAAACAAAGGAAGGGCTTAAGGTATTAGAAGAAGCCACAGGAGAGAGCCTAGGCCAGACGGCTGTTAGCTCACTGGGAAGTAAAAGTCACTGTGACAAGTAAGCCACATTGGGGCTGCTGTCAGTTCACTGGAAATTCAGAGAAAATGGAGGCCTTGGACACAGGTTCAGTGGGAAAGCCCGGGAGGAGCTGCCGATGCCCACCGCTCCCCTGGTTGTAAGTCTTTTGGGGACCCTTAGAGTTTAGGAGAAAGAGAGCAGAGATAGCAGGTTGGGCATGCTTTAGCGAGAGTGTGCTGTGGGTCCTTTGTCTTGAGGCTTTTTATCTTTCTTTGCCTGGCCAGAATCTGAGGGAGGTCTCATGGGAGGGTCTTAACAGAAGATTCATTAGCATTCCAGGGATGTCCTTCAATATGTTGATTCATCAAATTGTGCATATAGAGAGGGGTCAGGAGTTATTTTTGATTTAGTTTTATATTCAAAAACATTGAAGAGGACTGGGACTGGGGCTTGTCTGCCCTGAGACAGACTGGAATGTGTAAACTTATTTGCTTCTAAGTGTCCTTGATTAGGGAAGATAAAATCTTGTGATTCATTAGCTGCCTGTAAATTGCTGAAATTGTTTGGTCTTGTTTAATTGTTTTGTCTCAGTTTTCCTTATTTCACTTGTCAAGGAATTTCCTTAGCTTCTTACTATGCTGCCACAGTATTTCTAAATAGAAAACTCCAAATAATTAGCCAGATATTCTTTTTTTCTTTTTAAAATTTTTATTTTTAATTACAGTTTACATTCAATATTATTTGCATTAGTTTCAGGTATACAGCATATGGTTAAACAACCCTGTACTTTACAAAGTGTTCTTCTCAATATTTCCAGTACCCACCTGGCACCGTCTAAGTTATTGACTATATTCACTATGTTGTACTTTACATGAGACTATTTTGTAACTATCAATTTGTGCTTTTTTATATATATATATATTTATTGATTTTTTACAGAGAGGAAGAGAGAGAGATAGAGAGTTAGAAACATCTATCCCGATGAGAGAGAATCATCGATCAACTGCCTCTTGCACACCCTTCTGGGGATGTGCCCGCAACCAAGGTACATGCCCTTGACCGGAATCGAACCTGGAACCTTTCAGTCTGCAGGTCAACGCTCTATCCACTGAGCCAAACCAGTTTCAGCTGTGCTTCTTTTTAAAAAAAAAATACATATTTTATTGATTTTTTACAGAGAGGAAGGGGGAGGGATAGAGAGTTAGAAACATTGATGAGAGAGAAATGTCAATCAGATGCCTCCTGCACACCCCCTACTGGGGATGTGCCCGCAACCCAGGTACATGCCCTTGACCAGAATCGAACCTGGGACCCTTCAGTCCACAGGCTGATGCTCTATCCAATTTGTGCTTCTTCATCCCTTTACCTTACTTACTGATTTTGCATGTGTTTTATTTGTTCTATAAATTACAAAGACAGATATTCCCTTTACCTTTCTCTTGACTTAATTCATGATACAAATTTTTTCCTAAGTGAAGTCAAGAACATTATGGGTAGTCATTTGCATGTATCCCTACATTAAGCAGATCTTAAGATTGATTTCTGAAGTAAGAGGTAAAAATGGTATTTTCTTTGACGTTATGAGAAACTGACAGCCTACCTTTGCCTGCTTTGTGTTCCCAAAATATTTTCCCTGCTGTTTTGCATGCCTTGCTCAAGTACACGATTCTGATTTCTTGTGGGAACTCTAAATTTGGAGCCTATAAAACCATGGCGAGTGAGACGCTACTTTTTTCTGCCTGTCCTCTGTTTTTCTTAGTCCTGGACCTGGTAAAAGTGGATTCTCATTGTGATCTCCTGTGTGTGTCCAAGCTCCCTCCTCCCACCTCCCAGTCACGTTTGACTGCGTGGCTGCCAATCACCCAGCATTTGTTTGTGCTTATGGGCCCTTAATCCCACAGAGCTTTATGGAGCGTAATGGAGTGGTTTCTTTCTTAATTTAAGAGGGAAAATAAAATTAGCAATTGACAGGTGTGCTTTAGTGCCAAGAATCCTAAGGCCAGGATAAAATGAAGCAAGTTATGAACATATGTTCTTATCAAAGCCTCTACTGTAACATTTTGTAAAGGAGCAGAAAAGGCACTTACCTTTCTTCCTTGTTTTGCTGATCTCCATTTACATCCTTACCCACAATGAATCCCATCAACAAGGGAGCCTAAGGGTGAGAAACCCCTTGACCCTGTGTGGCTGCCGGCTGGATTTACAATGTAGCAAGTGTAGAAAAGACAAGGCCTCTGGAACCAAGAAGACATTTGCTGCCTTGTGGTTTGGCATGTTTGGTTTTTACATTGTTCTCTGAATCTCACAGGTAAAATGAGGGTATATTAATTCCTCATTGTATTCTGAGGATTACATGAGAACAGGTACATAATAAATTCCTTAACCCAGGAAAATGGCTCAGAGGAGTGGGGAAATAAGTAAATAAAATAAAATAAAATAAAATAAAATAAAATAAAATAAAATAAAATAAAATAAAATAAAATAAAAGGTGGTATCACAACCAAAGAAGGTCTAGTGTCTAGTGCCAGCCATGTGAAATATATACTGTTTCTGAACCTAGGTTTTCTCATCTGTTAAAAGGACAGTAGTGACTTCCTTATCTGCCCCCTCCCTCCAGCCTGGCTGTTGAGTGGATCAGTAGAGATAGTGTTTAGTGCTGTGGAGATAATGTAAGGGTATGTTATCGCTATGTATAAATATTCCACATTGTCAGTTATCCCTCTGGACCCCAGCAATGGGGAGGTGGGGCCCGGAAATTTCACTTAGGCAGAGGAGTGTTTTCTTTCTTACTCAAAATATTCTACTTATATAAAAATAACTCTCCTTGGGACATTAACAATATCATTAAAAATGAACTTCTAAGTATTTTTCCTTAACTCATATTTAGGAAAATAAATTAATATTTAATTCTGTTATCATTAGAGCCATAAAGATTGCTTTAAGTTAGGGCACATCAGATCATTTTATTCTTTAGTTCAGCATCTTAGCTGTTTATGATAATTCTTTTTTAGCATAAAGTCTGTAAGGCTTATATTTTCTTCTAAGATCTTCTAAGATCTAGAATTTCCTCATTATTAGCTTTCAGCTTTTCTTTTTTCTTTTTTAAAATATATTTTATTGATTTTCCACAGAGAGGAAGGGAGAGGGATAGATAGCTAGAAACATCGATGAGAGAGAATCATCGACCAGCTGCCTCCTGCACACCCCCTACTGGGGATGTGCCCGCAACCAATGTACATGCCCTTGACCGGAATTGAACCTGGGACCCTTCAGTCAGCGGACCAATGCTCTATCCACTGAGCCAAACGGGTTTCGGCATCTTTTAGCTTTAAAAAACAAAACAAAAAACCCTCCTTCTCTTTTGTGATATTGTGATCTAGCAGACTTCAAATATTCTTGAAGAGTAGTATATTTTAGACATTCTCTCATAACATTTTGTTTTTTCTTCAAAGCAGTTGATTGGGGGTTTCACTGGGCAAAGGGAGTGTTCAAAGCCGTGCACTATTCCTTATATCTCACAGCCTGTTTCCGTGAAAGTTTTAGTAGGCCTGATTTTCTTTCCTGGACCTCCAAGAGCCCTTGCTTCTGTTGATGAGTGTACCAGAATACTGGGGATAGGTGACGATATGGGATGGAGAGAGTAGGTCAACTGGTAGTAGCTGCAAGAGGAGAATAACTGATTTAGCATCTTTGAAAGTGCTTTAGGTCAGCATAACTATTTGAGAAAACCCTACAACCAGCAGATTTTTAGGAGGGCAGGGGAGCAGTGAGAAGGTGGTTGTTTTTATTCCTGTTATTTGAAAACAATCTATTCCAGTCTGAAAACATAAAAATTTTCCATTGTGTTCCTTCTTTTTTATTCTCCCCCATAATTTAGGTTCACGGTGATGCTTCTTTCTGTGGTCAAGGGATTGTCCCTGAAACATTTACGCTCTCTAATCTCCCACATTTCAGAATTGGTGGAAGTGTCCACCTGATTGTCAATAACCAGCTGGGTTACACCACTCCAGCAGAAAGAGGAAGGTCTTCCTTATACTGCAGTGATATTGGTATGTAACACAGAATTGTTGGTGTTGCTGGGTCAGACAAGGAATTTCTAGAGAAACTTCCAGTTCAACTTGGAACAGCGAGCCTCACTGGTTAGCCCATTTTAAATTTTGGATCAGATACTTTCAGTGTTGTTAGTTAATATTTATTTTAAACTTTGAGCATAGTTGTTACATCCAAGGAAATAAGACTAGAGTGGAACTTGGATGGTGCAATCTCAAATTGCTTAAATATCCAGTTAAATGATCTGGAAACAAGAGATCAACACAATTAGTCAGCATTAAAGTAATTGTCTTTACAATGTTCAAACTTTGAGTACTCAAATCTTAGTAAAAAAAGGATATGTTTAATTCAATAAGGGATTAATGTCTAAATATATAAAGAACTAATACAATAATAAAAACAATTAGATTAAAAGGGGAAGGAATTGAATACAGCTTTTCCCAAAGAAGATATACTGATGGCCAACAGGCACATGAAAAGGTGCTCACCATCACTAATCATCAGGGAAATGCAAATCAGAACCACAATGAGGTACCACACAAACCTCTGAATAAAAAAAACAAGAGGCAACAGGTGCTGGTGAGGATGCGGTAAAAGGGACTCTGATGCACTGTTGGTGGGAATGTAAATTAGTCCAACCACTATGGAAAACAATATGGAGATTCCTCAAAAAATTAAAAATAGATGTGGCATAAAATTCAGAAAATCCACTCTGGCTATGTATGCAAAGTATATGAACACAGGATTTCAACAAGGCTACCTGCACTCCATGTTTATGACAGCATTATTCACAATAGCCAAGATATGGAAGCAACCCAAATGTCCAGCACTGGGTGAATGGATAAAGAAATATGATAGGTATACACATGGAGTACTATTCAGTCATGAGAAAGGAATACATCCTGCCATCCATTTGTGCCAATGTGGATGGATCTTTGAGCACAGTATGCTAAGCAAGATTGGTCAGACAGCAAAAGAAAAGTATTGTATGATATCATTTATATGTAGAATCCTAAAAAAAAAAAAAAAAAAGTCACAGATGTGAAAAAGCAGAGTGAAATGGTGGTTACCAGAGGATCAGGGGTGTGGGGAAGGATAAAGGTGGGGAAGGATAAAGGTACAAATGAGTGAATAATGAATAGTAAGTAAGCCATAGAGATCTGATGTGTAGTATATAATGAATATAGTCAATAATACTGCACTATACTGGTATAATGTGATAAATATTGCTTCAATGGCAATCATATAACAATATCTAAAGTATCAAAGTAATATTCTGTATATTTGAATTTATTAATTTTAATATGTCAAATTTATTTTATTTATTCTTATTATTATGTTTTAATCCTCACCTGAGGATATTTTTCCATTGGTTTTTAGAGAGTGGAAGAGAGAGGGAAAGACAGAAACATCATTGTGAGAGAAACACATCTTTTGGTTGCCTCCTGCATGAGCCCTGACCAGGGCCCAGGCCAGGGAGGAGTCTGCTACCAAGATACGTGCCCTTGACTGGAATTGAACCCGGGATCCTGTGGTTCACTGACTGATGTTCTATCCACTGAGTCAAACTGGCTAGGGCTCAATTTTTTTTTTTTTTTAAATGATATATGTTCAGCCACTAAATTTGGCCAAGTAGTCTGGTTAGACATCAGATGTGAAGAATGATGGTTGCCTTCTTTTAATCAATGAAAATTGGCAGTATTAAGAGAAATGCAGGATTCTAAATATCTATATACTTAAATGATATTTATTGATTTTTAGAGAGAGGAAGAAACATCCATTTATTGTTCCACTTATTTATGCATTCATTGGTTGCTTCTGATGTTTGTCCTGGTTGGGGATCGACCCTGAAACCTTGGTGTATCGGGATGACACTCTTAACCAACTATGCCACCTGGCCAGGGCAGAAATGCAGAGCTTTTAATACCCATTCCCTATTTCACAGAGTTATAGGAAATGTGAGATGGTAGGATCTATTCTGTTTCAGACCCAGAGCCTGGCCCGGATGTGCCTTGAGACTATGTGAAATTTTTGTGATTAGTTAGAGATACTGAAAATTCATTATTGAATTCCTCTTTGGAGAAAATCCAATTTTCTCCCATAGGATGCATTAATAGTAATAATGTCAATAACAAAATAACTGTTAGTTATTACACACCAGGCACTTTTAAGTACTCTATATGCATTTAATCTTTACAATAATGCTAAGAAGTAGGAGCTATTAACCCAGTGTTATAGATAGGGAGAGTAAGATAACTTTATCAAGGTCACAGAATAAGTCATAGAATTGTGATTTGAACTTATTCTTGTCAGCTGGACTCCAAAATTTGAGATAACAACAATCCAAACTCTCTTTGAAGATGTGGGCTGCCTTTCCACACAGGCAGCAGGACTTGGCCCTGGGGTAGTTTCGTCTGGCTCACTTCATCTTGTCTTCTCTGCCTCAGGGAAGCTCGTGGGCTGTGCCATCATCCATGTCAATGGAGATAGTCCAGAGGAAGTGGTCCGTGCCACACGGCTGGCTTTTGAATACCAGCGGCAATTCCGGAAGGATGTGATTGTTGATTTGTTGTGCTACAGACAGTGGGGCCACAACGAGCTGGATGAGCCTTTCTTCACCAACCCAGTCATGTACAAAATCATCAGGTACAATTATACACCCTCACTTAACGTGCCCTCTCCCCCTTAGTGTCACATGCTTTTTGTTAGACATCCTAAATTAGAATGATCAACTTTCCTGGTTTGTGTGAGACACGAAGCTTTCAGTGATAACACTGGGACTCCAAAGTCCTGGGCAGACTGGGATTGTCATCCTAAGGGTGTTAGGAAAGCTCCCCATATTCTTCAAATTCTACATATTTCGTCAATGAACAGGCAAAGTGGGCCACTCAACAACCTCACTTAGCAGATGGGAAGATGGAGTAGGAAAACTTAGGCAGAGCCTTGTCTGAAGTAACTTAGTATGGCATTAACAGGGTCAGAAACAGAACCTCCATGATCCACTTCTGCAAACTACAGATGGGTACGCACTCTGTACCTTGGCACGATGTTGGATTTTAATGAAAGTCCAGAACTGTACTGTCCAATATAGCAGTCACTTAAGTGGCTACTGAACACTTGAAATGTGGTGAGTCTTCATGGAGACAGGCTGTGAGTGTAATGTACACATCAGATTTCAAAGATTTAATATGAAAAAAAGATTGTTAACTATCTCAACAATTAATTATATTAACTAGATATTAAAAGGCAATATTTTGGATATATTGATTTAAATAAATATGATTTAAATTCTACCTGTTTCTTTTTACCTTTTCTAATGTGACCAATAGCAAATTTTAAATTCCACATTGACTTGTATTAGACACTGAGTGGCCAGATTATTATGATCTCTGAATGCATAATAATCTGACCACTCAGTGTAGACTGACCACAGAGTTGGGATTTTAAAATAAGGTTTTTCCATGTATAAGAACTGCATTGTGGGTAGTTAGAAGCAGAGGACTTACTAGCCAGAGGCTGGGGGCCACTATCTCCTGGTCCCTTGGCATATCAAGATTTGCAAGCTTTCCCTTATACGTAAGTACACTGAGTGGCCAGATTATTATGTGTTCAGAGATCATCAAAATCTGACCACTCAGTGTATTTCAGTGCTGAGTCAGAGGATTAATGTGACAGAGAAAAATGTCACTTTTTAGATACTAGAAAGTAAAAATAGACCCCTCTTCTCTACTTTATTTCCTCATAGACATAAATTAAAGCAGAAGAAATAACTTGGTGACATTTTACGAGCCTTTCTAGTCATGGAGAGCAGACTGCTTTTGGAAGAACAAATCTGGATTCTTTATTTAGCTCTGAGCGTAGCAGCTGAATTACTTGGTGTACCCCAGTGCCCCATTTAAAATAATCTATCCTGCTAACCTCTCACTTCGGTCAGAATTAAATATGGTAATAAATCTGATCAGACCTTATAGTTTAAAGTGTTATGCAAATATTGAGTGGCATTATTATTATTGGAGCTGAATAGGTTCAGGATTCTTAAAGACACCTGAAATGGATGTTGGCAATTTTGGGTTTAATATATATTTTTTTAAGACAAAGGGGTGCTAAATGGGTAGATTATGTAGGTCAATCCTATGAATAACTGAATTTACCAATTGGTTGAAAAATTACTAATTATTTCTACCTGAATGTAGATGAAAATTCATAAAGATAAATTTGTTTTCTCTTGCTTCCCTGGATGAAGTTGTTACTCACCACTGCCTTTTTGAAGAAAATAATTTATTGGAGTGACAGTCACATGGCATTAAATGGACCATTTAAAATTCAATAGCAATTAGTAAATTCACAATGCCATACAACCATCCCTCTGTCTAGTTCCAAAGCATTTTCTACATGCCTTTTTACAGTGAACACATCACATATCTTTGACAATAACTGTATCTGTCTCTCTTTGATGTTTACAAATCAGATTGATTTATTCCTTTGTTTTCTTGGACAGAGCCCGGAAGAGCATTCCAGACACTTATGCAGAGCACCTTATTGCCAATGGACTCATGACCCAGGAGGAGGTGTCAGAAATCAAGGCCTCCTACTATGGCAAGTTAAATGACCATTTAAATAACCTGGCCCACTATAGCCCCCCTGCCACTCACCTGCAGGCCCACTGGCAGGGCCTGGCTCAGCCAGAAGCTCGCATTACCACCTGGAACACAGGTGTGCCCATAGACCTCCTTCGGTTTATTGGCGGCAAGTCTGTGGAGGTGCCGGAGGAACTCCAGATGCACAGTCACCTTCTGAAGATGTATGTTCAGGTGGGGAGCCCTGAACTCTCTGATTGTTGTTTGTTTCTTATGCAAATTGCTATTTGGTCATTTGGTTGGCTAATTTGTTTGACAAATATCTATTGTATGCTGTTATGTTCTAGGAACAGATTCTAGTGGTATTTTGGTACTGATAGTAAATTAACTCAGATTTTGTCTACTTCTCTTTTTCCTTCCTTCCTTCCTTCCTTCCTTCCTTCCTTCCTTCCTTCCTTCCTTCCTTCCTTCCTTCCTTCCTTCCTTCCTTCCTTCCTTTGTTCATTCATTCACTTATACATGTTTAATACATTAAATGTACATGTACTACATGCATATTATTAAATACTAGAGGCCTGGTGCATGAAAATTCGTGCACTCGTGGAGGGGGTGTTCCTCAGCCCGGCCTGTGCCCTCTCGTAGTCCAGGCCCTCTTGAAGATATCCACCTGCCAGCTTAGGCCTGCTCCCCGGGTGATCAGTTGGACATCCTTAGTGCTGCTGTGGAGGCAGGAGAGGCTCTTGCCTACCGCTGCTGAGCTCGCTAGCCTTGATCCCCAGGGTTCTGGCTGAGTGGTGCTCACCCTGTGGGAATGCCCTGACTACCAGGGGGCAGTTCCTGAGTTGAGTGTCTACCCCCTGCTGGTCAGTGCAAGTCATAGCAACCAGTTCTATGGTTTGGCTGATTTGCATATTAGCCTTTTATTATATAGGGTACAGCAATACCAGAAGGCCTGTTTGGATTATTCTAACCAGAAAACACTTTAATTCTTTTGGCTGCCTTAAATGTAATAAATAAAAATCAACATACACACCCCAGAGTCAACTGTTTAGAGCCTGAATCATGTTGAGGTTTTATATATTGTTTCACATTATGCATGTGACAAACACTTCTGGTTTGCCTGGCTCTCAGTTAAAGGCCTTCATCTTTCTTAAACTTGGATGAAGAAACTGCCTTTTGAATTATTATTTATTTATTTATTTTTTAAATAGATTTTCATTGATTTCACAGAGGAAGAGGGAAAGAGAAATAGAAACATCGATGAGAAAGAATCATTGATTGGCTGCCTCCTGCACATCCCCCACTGGGATAAAGCATGTGTTCTTGGCTGGAATTGAACCTGGGACCCTTTAGTCTGCAGGCTGACACTCTTTCCACTGAGCCAAACCAGCCAGGGCCTTTTGAATTATTTTTAAAACACTAACTTCATTTTGTTTTTTGTTAATACTCACCTGAGGATATTTTCCCCCCATTTATTTTTAGAGAGTGAACAGATAGTGAGAGACACACAGAGAGAAACATGGATGTGAGAAGACACATCGATTGGGCATGCACCCCAACTGGGGCTGGGGATTGAGCCTGCAACTGAAGTACTCTCTTGACTGGAATTGAACCCACAATCCCTCAGTCTGTGGGCCAACACACTAACCACTGAGCTAAAGTGGCTGGGGCCATTTGGGGGTTTTGATTATAGATATAGAGAATATTAAAATAAACTATGCATTCACCATCCAGGTGAAGCAATAGAATATTATAAATAAGTTCCCTGTGAAACCCTCCCTGCCGCCATCTCTCATTTATAATATTCTATTGCTTCATCCATAGGGTGAACAACTAACTTGAGCACCTGTGTATTTTGCCTGTTTTAAGATGACAGATGATTGCTATCAGACTTTCATGTATTCTTCTGCACTTTCTGTTTTGTTTAACATTATGTTTCTGATACTTCCCATTGTTGCATTACTTTTTTTTTTTTAACTCTGTGAAAAAGAATAACTTTCTCTCCCCATTCAACTTCACAGTCCAGGCTGGAGAAGGTGATGGATGGAACCAAGTTAGACTGGGCCACGGCAGAAGCTCTTGCCTTAGGCTCATTGCTTGCTGAAGGTAAGACGTTTCTGTTTACCTGCACAGCTGGTAGGAGATGTTTTAATATGATGTTTGATACATGTGATTCTGCAGATTTTTAAGTGATAGCTACCTACTATTATTTTTATTGACCAGAGAGATTCTAAAACACATTATCTTTTCTTATCTGACAATATTATTTAATCTTAGTATATCATGTTGACAACCTTCATCAGAGAATAGAGCAACATACCTGGAATAAAAGAGCTCAGGGCTGGATATTTTCCTCTAAAAACTGTAGGGTAAATGATGACTCTCCATTCTTACACAATCTCACTTTGACTACAGCACTTTACATATAGGACTGGTATATTTGAGTAAGGATAATCTATTATGCTAAGAAAACTCTCAGGATAAGTTGATATATAAAACTTCAGGGTCACCATGTCTTATTACTAGGTTATTCATAGGAATCTGGTTTTCCCTGCCTTTTGATTGCCTAAGGTTATAATGTCCGTCTGAGTGGCCAAGATGTTGGCCGTGGAACGTTTAGTCAGAGACATGCAATGGTTGTTTGCCAGAAGACTGATGACACCTACATCCCACTGAACCATATGGACCCTCATCAGAAGGGGTTTCTAGAGGTAGGATGTTTTCTTACCTATTTGAAAATTCATATGCTAATGATTATAGTTATAGAATTATTTTTCAGCCTATCTAATAAAGAGGTAATATCCAAATTGACCATCACTCTAACACAGAAGATGGTTGCCCCCATGTGGACACAAGATGGCCGCAACAAGATAGCCTGCAGGGGAGAGCAGTTGTGGGCGGTCAGGCCAGCAGGAGAGATCAGTTGGAAGAGACCAGGCCTGCAGGGGAGAGCAGTTAGGGGTGAACAAGCCATCAGGGGAGGGCAGTTGGGGGAGACCAGGCCTGCAGGGGAGGGCAGTGGGGGTGACCAGGCATGCAGGGGAGGACAGTTAGGGGTGACCAGGCCGGCAGGGGAGGGCAGTTAGGCATAACCAGGCTGTCAGGGGAGGGAAGTTGGAGGTGACCAGGCTGTGAGGGCAGGACAATTTCGGGCAAACGGGCTGATAAGGGAGGGCAGTTAGGGGCAATCGGGCCAGCAAGGGAGGGCAATTAGAGGTGACTGGGCCAGCAGCAGAGGGCAGTTGCGGGTGACCAGGCCTGTAGGGGAGGACAGTTAGGTGCACCCAGGCCTGCATGTTGGGCAGTTGAGGTTGACCATGCTGGCAGGGTAGGGCAGTTATGGGCAACCAGGCTGACAAGAGAGGGCAGTTAGGGGTGACCAGGCCTGCAGGGGAGGGTAGTTGGGGGTGACCAGACTGGCAGGGGAGGGTAGTTGGGGGCGATTGGGCTGGCAGGGGAACAGTTCGGGGTTAATCAGGCTGGGAGGGGAGCAGTTAGGGGGTGATCAGGCTGGCAGGCAGAAGCGGGTAGGGGCAATCAGGCAGGCAGGGAGGAGCAGTTAGGAGCCAGAAGTCCTGGATTATGAGAGGGGTGTCTGACTGCTAGCTTAGGCCCAATCCTTCCACTATTTCTTACTTCTTTTCAATAAGGTTAAGTTTCTGAACTCTCTAAATCTCTGTTGTCTTGCTAATGAAAAGAAAATTGGATTCTACTGAGTCTCCTAATTACTTACTCCAGGACTTCCGTGAGGATCAAATGAGATGACACATGTGAAAACACTTCATAGACATTTGGTTAAACTGTAAAATGTTTGTACCTGGCTATAAAGCAAGTCAGGTTCCTGCACTGAAGAAACTCCAAGGAGACTAGTCACTAGAGAGAGGAAGCTGGGCATTGCTATGTGATGTCATTACTCAACACCCACAGCGCCTGTTTCTGGGCTGGGCTGTGGGCAGCATTTTGCGCAATGGGGTCTTGCAGCATTGTTTGAGATTTGGTGGGGTGTCACTTCAGGGTGGTGGTGGGGCCTTTGTCCTACTTGGCGGAAACCAAGTGTTGGTTTGCCAGCACCAGTTCCATGGTGCCATTTATTTTTAAATGGGCAGTGCGCATCATGGCAGCTCCTGTGTCCTCCTGGTGGTAGTGCATGCCATAGCTACTGGATAGAGCGTCTGCCTCCTGTTGGTCATTACACATCATAGCTACCGGTTGGTGGGAAGGACTGGCACTTAGCCTTTTATATATATAGATACCTGGTATTGTGATTTCTCCAACTTTGTTTTTCTTTCTTAAGCTTGCTGCAGCTATTCAGGGTCCTATATACATTTTTGGAGTATTTATTCTATATCTGTGAAATATGCCATTGGTAATTCAATAGGGATTGTATTAAATCTATAGATTGCTTTGGAGAGTATAGAAATTTTAATGATGTTAATTTTATCAATCTATGAACACATTTTATTTTTCCACTTGTTTACATCTTTATCTCTTTTTTCATCATCGTGCAGTTTTTAAGTATGTCTTTTACATCCTTGGTTAAGTTTATTCCTAAGTATCTTTCTTTTCTGTTGCAATTGTAAATGGGATTGATGTTTAGTTTATCTTTCTGAGAATTCATTGTTGGTGTATAAAGATGCCATGGATTTCTGGGTGTTGATTTTGTATTCTGCTCATTGCAAAATTCATTTATTAAATCTAGTAGTTTTTGGTGGAATCTTTATGGTTTTCTATGTACAATATCATGTCATCTGCAAATAATGAGAGTTTTACTTCCTCCTTTCCAATTTGGATGCCTTTTTTAGTTTCTTCTTGTCTGATAGCTGTGGCTAGGACTTCTTGTACTATGTTGAATAGGAGTGGTGAAAGTGAACATCCCTGTATTGTACCTGTTCTTAGGTGAAATGGTTTTAATTTTCCCCATTGAGTATGATGTTGGCTGTAGGTTTGTCATATATGGCTGTTATGTTGAGACTAGAGGCCTGGTGCACAAATTTAGGTTTGTCATATATGGCTGTTATGTTGAGACTAGAGGCCTGGTGCACGAATTTGTGCACCAGTGGGATTCCTCAGCCTGGCCTGGGGGATCAGGTTGAAACTGGCTATCAGACATTCTCCCAGGGTTCCCAGAATGTGTGAGGGCGCAGGACAGGCCGAGGGACCTCAATGGTACACTATCGGGGCTGGGGACGTAGGAGGTTGGCCAGCTGGGGAGGGACCATAGGAGGGCTCTAGGGCATGTCTGGTCTGTCTAGCCCAGTCCTGATTGACTAGACCCCAGCAGCAAGCTAACTTACCAGTTTGAGCATCTTCCTCCTGGTGGTCAGTGAACGTCATAGTAACTGTTTGACTGGTTGACTGTCTGACCCCTGGTGGTCAGTCCACATCATAGCAGTGGTTGAGCATTCTTAGCATATTATTAGCATATTACACTTTGATTGGTTGAACGGATGACCTGATGACCAGACACTTAACATATTAGGCTTTTATTATATAGGATATGATCTCTCTATTCCCACACTGCTGAGAGTTTTTATTAAAAATGGGTGTTGGATTTTATCTAATGCTTTTTCTATATCTATTGATATGATCATATAATTTTTGTTTTTAGATTGTTTATGTGATGTAGCACACTAATTGATTTGCAAATATTGAACCAGCCTTGCATCCATGGGATAAATCCCACTTTGTCATGGTGTATCTTTTTAATATATTGCTGGATCTGATTTGCTAATATTTTGTTGAGGATTTTAGCATCTAAGTTCATCAGGGACATTGGTCTGTAATTCTCTTTGTATCTATTTTTGGCATTAGGATAATGCTGGTCTCATAAAAAGAGGTTGAAAGTATTCCTTCCTCTTGGAGTTTTTGGAACATTTTGAGGAGGATAGGTGTTAGTTGTTCTTTAAATTTTTGGCAAAATTCCTATGTGAAGCCATCTGGACCAGGATTTTTATTTGCTGTTTTTTGTGTTTTTATTTTTTATTTTTTTTATTACTACTTCAATTTCCTCAATTGTTATTGGCTTATTCAAGTTTGCTGATTTTTCCTGATTTATTTTTGAAAGATTGTATTTGTCTAGGAATTTGTCCATTTCATCCACATTGTCCAACTTATTGGCATATATTGATAGTTACTCATAGTATTTTCTTTTAAAAAAAACTTTATTGTTGAAAGTATTACATAAGTCTCCTTTCACCCTCCCCCCACCCCAATTGATCTCTTTTCTTCCACCCCTGGCCCTCCCCACCCTATAGTCTTTGTCCATGGGTTATGCATATCTTATATAATAAAAGCCTAATATGCCAGTTGTTCCCTCAACTGGGAGTTTGACCAGAAGTTTGGCCAGAGGGCGAGGCCAGTTGGCCAACTGCCTGAGGCCCCTCCCTGACCATCAACAGCAGGCAGCCGGAGGGAGGAAGGCCCCAGTCAGCTGTTGGCAGCCACTAGGGACCCTACCCATCCAGGAATTTCATGCACTGAGCCTTTAGTATGCATATAAGTTCATTGATCGATCTCTTCCTACCCACCCTCCTCTGCCTTCCCTTTGAGGTTCCACAGTCTGTTCCATTCTTCTATGTCTCTGGGTCTATTTTTTAAACTATATTTTTATTGATTTTAGGGAGGAAGGAGGAAGGAGAGGGAGCTAGAAACACCCATGATGAGAGAGAATCATGGTTTGGCTGCTTCCTGCAAGTCCCCCATTGGGGATTGAGACCACAACCCGGGCAGGTGCTCTTGGCCGTAATTAAACCCGGGACCTTTCAGTTCACAGGCCAACACTCTATCCACTGAGCCAAACCAACCAGGGCTCTGAGTTTATTTTTGTTCATCAGTTTATTTTGCTCATTAGATTCCACCTCTGAGTGAGATCATGTAATATTTGTCTTTCTCTGACTGGCTTATTTCACATCACATAATACTTTTCGGGTCCATCCATGCTGTTGCAAACGGTGAAAGTTCCTTCTTTTTTATAACAGCATAGCATTCCATTGTGTAAATGTACCACAGTTTTTAATCCACTCATCTGATAATGGACACTTAATCTGTTTCCAAGTCTTAGCTATTGTAAATTGCACTGCTATGAACAAAGGGGTGCATATATTCTTTCTGATGAGTGTTTTGGGTTTCTTAGGATATATTCCCAGGAGTTGGATCACTGAGTCAAATGAGAGTTCCATTTTTAATTTTTTGAGGAAACACCGTACTGGTTTCATAATGGCTGTTCCAGACTGCATTCCCACCAGCAGTGTACTAGGGTTCCCTTTTGTCCACATTCTTGCCAACACTTGTCATTTGTTGATTTGTTGGTAGCCATTCTGAGAGGTTTGATGTGATACCTCATTGTTTTGATTTGCATCTCTCAGATGATTAGTGAATTTGGCTCATAGTATTTCCTTACGGTTCTTTTTATTTCTGTGGTATCAGTGATACTTCACCACTTTTATTTCTGCTTTTATTTATTTTGGTCCTCTCTTTGTTTCTTGATGAGTTTAGCTAACAATTCATCAATCTTGTTTATCTTTTCACAGAACCACTGTTGGTTTCATTCATCTTTTTTATTTTTATTTTTATTGTCTATGTAATTTATTTCTGCTCTAGTTTTTATTACTTCGGTCCTTTTACTTATTCTGGGATTTTCTTGTTGTTCTCTAATTCTTTAAGTTGTAGGGTTAAATCGTTTATAATTAATTTGTCTTTTTTTTTTTTTTTTTTTTTTTTTTTTTTTTTTTAGGTAAGCGAGTCTAAGGAATGCTTTTGCTGTGTCCTAGAGATTTTTGGTTGTTGTGTGTTCATTTTCATTTGTTTCCAGGAAGTTTTTGGTTTCTTTCTTGATCTCATTGATAACACATTCATTGTTTAATAGCATGCTATTTAGCCTCAATATGTTGAATACTTTTGAGTGTTTTCACTGTAGTTTATTTATAATTTCATTCAATTATGGTCTGAGAGGATGCTTGATATGATTTCAGCCTTTTTGAACTTATAGAGACTTATTTTCTGTTCTAATGTGTGGTCTATCTTTCAGAATGTGTAATTTGGGGTGATATGTTTTATAAATGTCAATTAAATCCATCTAATTCAGTGTGTGATTTAGAGTCACTGTTTCCTTGTTAACTTTTTGTCTGAAAGATCTATCCAGTGTCAGAGGTGTTTAATTCCCCTGCTATAAATGTATTGTTGTCACTTTCTCTTTTAAAGTCCTCTAGAATTTTTTTTAATATACTGAGGTGCTCCTATATTGTGTGCATATATATTTCCCAGCATTATATCCTCTTGTTAGATCAATAACTTTAGTATTATTTAGTGGACCTTTGTTATCTCTTCTGATGGCCTTCATTTAGTCAGATATGAGTATTGCTAACTCAGCTTTTTTTTTTTTTCATTTCCATTTGCATGAAAAATTTTTTTCCTATGTGAGCCTTTTTTTCTAGGTAGATCTCTTCTAGACAGCATATAGGTTGGTCATGTTTTCTTTATATTCAGATATCCTAAGTCTTTTGATTAGAGCATTTAATCCATTTATATTTAAGGTTATTGATAGTTATTTCCATTTTAATTTTTTATGCCTTTTTTTTTCTCTTCTCATTATAGCAATTGCTTTAACATTATTGCAGTGCTGGTTTGGTGGCAACAAACTCATTAGCCTTCTTTTTGTCTGGGAAGCTCTTCATATCACTATTTTGAATGATAGCCTAGCTGGATATAGTAATCTTGGTTTTAGACCCTTGCTTTTGATGACCTTGAATACTTCATGCCATTCCCTTCTCGCCTGTACAGTTGCTGATGATAAATTAGCTGACAGCCTTATGGGAGCTTGTTTGTAGGTAACAAATTGCTTTTCTCTTTCTGCCTTTAAGGTTCTCTCTTTGTCTTTAATTTTTGACATATTAATTATAATGTATCTGGGATTGGGTGTGTTTGAGTTCTTCTTGCTTGGGATTATCTGTGCATCCTAAACCTGTGTGAATTTTTTCTTTACTTTATTATGTAAGTTTTCTGCCATTATTTCTTTAATCATGTTCTTTATCCATTGCTCACTTTCTTTCCCTTCTGATACTCCTGTTCTGTGAATATTGTTACATTTCATGTTGTCACACAGCTTTCTTTTGCTGTTCTCCTATGTTTTTTTTTTCTTTTTGATTCTATGATTGAGTGATTTTTTTCAACTCTATCTTTTAATTCACTGATCTGATCCTTGGCCTTCCCTAATCTTCTTTGTGTACCTTCTAGTATTATCTTTACTAGTGCTATGTCTTTCTTCATAGTTATTATATTTTTTCTCATGCCATTGAGCATCCTTGTCTTTATTATTCTGTGTTCTATGTCTGATAAATTTCTTATCTCCATTTCATTTAGCTCTTCTGGAGAATTCTTTTGGTTTTCATTTGGGGCTTGTTTGTCTCCACATTTTGGCTGCCTAATTGAGCTTGTGTCTGTGTATTAGGTAGATCTGCTGCAACTTACAATCTTTAGTGCAGGATTGTGCCAAATGCTGTTTCTGACTTGCCCTGAGTACCCTTTTTGTAGCCATCACCAATCTACTACTTGTGGCTCCCTCTGCTGGCGGATGAATGCCTTGGGAAAGGATCAAGATTTGTGCACCAAGGCCTGATTTTTCTAGCCCTGGGCCCTGGATTGGATCAGGAAAGACTCAGAGCCTCCAGAGACCTGCCTCTGTCTATTGAATGATTGTTATTCAGTCTGGCTATTGACCACAGGGTGGAGCAAGTAGTTTTCCAACAGAATGGGGCAATTGCTTTTAGCTACAGGCTGATTGTTATTCCCAGTCTCTTAATGGGCCTCAGAAACTTCACCGGGTACAAGAAGGGGTTTTGGAAGAGGGTGGGGCAATTGCTTCTCCCCCAGGCAAAAGCTGCCTGCATGGTGAAGGTCTGCAGGAGAAAGGCATCCTTTGCAGTATGAGGGAATGACTCAGCACAGGAAACTGGGGTGGCTGCCTTCTGACCTCACAGCCCCTAATCCTGGCTGCTGCTCACACAGTTCCAGTCTACTCTGTTCTCCCTCGGTCAGATTCCAAGGTGAGTGGCTGCACACAAAATTTTGTGTGTTGGCCCTTTAAGAGGGTACCTGCTTTTCCAGCCATCTCTCCCTGGCAGACAGCAACCCTGCTACTTTTCATAGCCAGATGTGGTGTGAACACCTTTCTGAGTTCAGTAATCTGGGTTGGGGAGCCCAGCTTGGAGTTTAGACCCCAGAGTTCTCAGTGGGAACCCCACACCTGAGATATCCCTCCAGAACTTTAGCTGCTGTCTGTGGTAGCCCAGCAAGCCCTTTTGAAGTCTCTATGCAGTCTTCAGTTCCTGTCCTTAGTTTTCAGGATTCTCTCCAGCTAGTCTTTAGTTGATCATTCAGGATGGTTTTTCTGTGTTTTAGTTGTAATTCCAGTTTGGTCTTGAAAGCATGTCACTGCTCATCCTTTTTATTTTTTTTAAGACTAGTTTATTGATTTTTAGAGAGAGAAAGGAAAAGACGGGGAGAGAAACACTAATGTGAGAGAGAAACATCAATCAGCTGCCTCCTGCACAAACCCTAACTGGGGCCAGGGATCGAACTTGCAACCGTGACCAGGAATCAAACCCAAGACCTTTTGGTGCATGGGATGATCCTGTAATCCACTGACACACTGGCTGTGCTGTGACATTTTTTTTTTTTTTAAAGCCTATATGACACAGTTTTACTCTCAGCTCCAAAGGTGGGTCTTCTGATACATCAATTTTGCTAATCCTTAGAGAAAATCTTCAATGCTCATATTCTAACATCTTTCATATCTTCCTCTTTTTGTTCCAACTTTCCCATATGCATCACTCATAGAGGGCTTTTTCCCCAAGGGCATATAGAGAGAACTAAAAACAAAGTTTCTCTGTCTGCCCTTCCTCTCTCTTAAGAGGTTTGCATAAATGTGAATCTTTGACCTTTACTGACTCATGTTGCCATTTCTCTGCCATGACAGTGTCTCTGTTCTCTTCCTTTGCATCAGGTCAGCAACAGCCCATTGTCAGAGGAGGCTGTCCTGGGATTTGAGTATGGGATGAGCATTGAGAGCCCTAAGTTACTGCCCATCTGGGAGGCTCAGTTTGGCGATTTCTTCAATGGTGCCCAGATCATCTTCGACACGTTCATCTCTGGAGGTTGGTTTTGGCATATGGGTGTATAGTGGATACATGATGCTGTCCTTATGGGGGCAAATGAATGAAAAGGAGCTGTAGCTGCTTTTGAGACTCCTTGTACCACAGTTCCTGGGGAGAGTTGGGGGTTGCCCTATCATCCACTGGAGCATGGCAGCTATCAGAGTTAAATAAACTGAGTACCACTCAGCTGCTATGCAGGGAGCGCCTTCCCATCTGTGGGGGAATGTGTTTGGCTATAGGAAGCAGGACATGTATCTACTAGGTCCTAAGTAGTTTGACTTTCAGATCTACTTTTGGGGTTTGTTGATTAGCTGTGACATTAATCACAAGCAGGGAATGGCCACACCGTTGAGGATTTGTGAGCATAGTGAATGTCAGTCTTGAAAATCTGCTTCCCTCAACCCAGAGACACTCAAGTATCTGAACATTGGAAGTTGTGCATCTTGATCATTTTTAATAAACCTTTATAAAAGCAGGACCTGCTTCCTGTGAAAATTCCAAGTATATAAAGTACAAGTATGAGTCTCCCCCATGTGCTTACCCCATTTTGGGGGGTCAGCACTCTTGGATTATGAGTGTGCACTATAGATCTTTCCCTTGGTTGTGTTACTCTGTGTCTGTGTAGTTGTAAGAAACATGCCAAGCAATGTCATCCCAATAAATGTAATTTACAATAAAGAACAACAATAAAAAGAAACGTGCCTTAAGGAAACTGGACATTGACATGTCCAGAGACTGTTCTAAAGTGCCTGTGTCTTGAAATTGAGGACAGTGGCCTGTGTTGTCAGGGGATCTGTGAGGGAAAAGCAGGAGCTGTCCAGTCTTGGTAAGAGTCGTGCCTGAGTGGATTCGGCATGGCCATGCTGTTCTGGGAGCCGGATGGCTACTGCTGTTGAGTTTGTGTTCCACTTGCTAAATAAATCCCAATATGAGCCATTCCAGGATTTCAACTGGTAGGATGGGTACTTTTTCCTCCCCAACTATGGTGTAACAATGCTGGACAGCACATGTAATGAAAATGGTTCTAGTGGGTCAGGCAGGTAACTAACATTTGTTCCTCTACCCAGATCAGATCAGACCTTTCATCTCTGCTCACAGAGGTCTCACTCCCTCCTACTATTTTCCAGGAGAGGCCAAGTGGCTCCTGCAGAGCGGCATTGTGATTCTCCTGCCCCACGGGTATGATGGGGCTGGACCTGACCACTCCTCTTGTCGCATAGAGCGTTTCTTGCAGGTATGTCCAATGCCTTTTTGATTCCCAGGAATGTTTTCATGATTCTGAGGTTTTGAACTAGAATTGCCTCCTGCAGGTACTTAATGTGTGCCTTAAACTGTCAGACATTATAGTATTTGAATGAAACGGATTTCATACCCTGGGAAGTGGCAAGCCTGGCAGCCTCGTCACCTCCACTGAGCTCTGTGGTGGCTTCTGCTCTAAATGTTGCCTTTATTTTCCCACTAGGGTTGATTATGCACACCCTCTCTCCAAATTGGAGGGGACTAGTAATAATTGTCAGGATTCTGCTGCTTTCTTTTCTCTCCATTGTTTCTGGAGTGGGGTTAGGAGCCATGTCTTAGCTTTTTGCTACACCAGGATCTTCTGAGATTTAAATCATGGTCCTCAACTTTTTCAACCTTGTTAGCCGCTTTTGATTTTGTTTTGTCGTTAAAACAAGCTAACAGCCCTGGCTGGTTTCACTCAGTGGATAGAGCGTCAATCTGCTGACTGAAGGGTCCCAGGTGCGATTTGCCTCAAGGGCACATGCCAAGGTTGTGGTCTCAATCCCAGTAGTGGGAGTGTAGGAGGCAGCCAATTATTCTCTCTCATTATTGATGTTTCTATCTCTCTCTCCCTCATCCTTTTTCTCTGAAATTAATAAAAATATTAAAATAAATAAATTTAAAAATATGTAAGCAAGTTGTTCTAAAAAAACAAATCAAACTCTTGTGTTTATTTCATTAGACGACACCATCATAACTCCACAGTAATCAGAATCTGCATTTTTTAAAAGGTCCCCTCCAGATGCTCCTTGCAATCAGCTGTGTTTGGAAACAACTGTGTTAAAATATGCAGACTCAAGAAAATGGGGGAAGCTCGGACCTCTCCTTTGGTTAATTGTTCATAGGCTGTAAATTTACTTTCTGGTATTATCTGTAATGGAGGGAAATATTTTCTTCTCACCCTTGAGAGCCCTGTGGTCCCTTTGGAGAGCAGATGTTATGATTGTAGGCGATGATCTGAACGTTCTCCTTTCTTTCATTTCTGTTCCAGATGTGTGACAGCACAGAGGAGGGGGTGGACGGGGACACCGTAAACATGTTTGTGGTGCACCCCACGACTCCTGCTCAGTATTTCCATTTGCTCAGGAGACAAATGGTCCGGAACTTCAGAAAACCCCTCATTGTTGCTTCTCCAAAGATGTTACTCAGGTTCCCAGTAAGTAGGAAACGCTATTTGGAAGCCTTTCTTCTCTCATCATTTTATTCTGCTGTGTTCTTTTTTTTAAATCTAATTATAGTTCTAAATTACAGAAACCATCTATTTAGTTTTAGTTGGCTTTGCTTTTCTAAAACTAAATCAACCTATCAGCACGCACCTCCCTGCCCTCCCTCTCTCTCCCCCTTTCAAGAATAACTGGTTTATAAGTAGCTCTCAGTTTCATTGTAATGCAGGACAGGATAGCAGATATTACCACACTGGTATTCTGGTCTGAGAGGAAACAATTTCGTAGAAAAAGTTTAAAAGTCCTAATGGTCTACTAGTAAACACTACTGTGTTGATAGTAGCAACTTGGGAATGTAGAGCATTTTCACGAAAGGGAGTGGTGTTATTCATTGACTTTTTTTTTTTTTTTTTTTTTTTTTTAACATTTTCCCTGTTAAAGGATTTATCACAGGTAGAGAAAGGCCTGTTTCCATAAGCACAACATCATAACAGTATAGCTTATTGTATGCGGCTTTAAAAGTATACATTTTTAAAAGTGTATATTTTTCTCTTGGTTTACCTGAACTAAGTGTTAAGTGCACAATGTATTTTATTTATTTATTTATTTATTTATTGAATACATTTTATTGATTTTTTTACAGAGAGGAGGAGAGAGGGATAGAGAGCTAGAAACGTCGATGAGAGACAAACATCGACCAGCTGCCTCTAGCACACCCACTACCGGGGATGTGCCCGCAACCAATGTACATGCCCTTGACCGGAATCAAACCTGGGACCTTTCAGTCCACAGACCAATGCTCTACCACGGAGCCAAACCGGTTTTGGCAGTGCACAATGAATTTTAAATAACAAATATGTTAGTTTTCAAATGGCAGAGTTAAGGTAATAAATACTAATAAGTATTTATTTATCCTTTCTGCTATACTTCCCCCCCCCCCAATTTTACTTGAGAATCTTAATTAGAATGAACATTAAAAAACTTGCACTTATTTGGATCCTACAGCTGAGGTGAAATACAGGTAAGTGATTTATGATATGGCTGTTCAGGACTATCTTGTGCTTTGCACAAAGGTTTGAGAGTATAGATTTGGAATTGAGGGGTATTGAGGAAAGTTGCAAGTGACTTGCTTTCACAGGTTGCATTTTTAAGCAGTGCCTAGCCTTTGGAGAGGAGTAAGAAGATATACTGTTATGGTCAGCACTTGTGTGATCCTAGAGTGAACTGAACACCTCCTTAAATTTTGCATTCCAGTCACCTCACCTGTCTTATCCTAGTTCTGACTCTGAGGGTCAATATCAAATGTAATGATACTAAATATAATATATGTGTAGTATCAAGTATTAAGTGAACTACTAGAAATTTTATTGAGAATCTCTTGCTATTTGAAACTGAGAACAAGAGTTCATATTCTGGTCCTAATGTTTTACTCTTTGCCCCCTTACCCCAAGTCTAATATGTAACTTGTCCTATAATAAAGTCCTTATTTGGGAGCCTTAAAAAATACCAACAGCTATACTATAGATTTTAAAGTTAAAAACTACTCATTAAGTAGTCAAATAAATTATTTTATTAATTGAAAATGAGTATGACCGTTATTGAATTCTGATTTCCTCCTGAAAATTTGATTATTGGTACACATGATCTATTAGAATATAAATCAACTCTTTTTTCCAGGGTCTATTCAGAGATGACTTGCCACGTGATAAAAATGACTCAGGGCTATCGGGAGTTTTTTGTCAATTGGTACCTAAATCCCACTCCAATTTCCCACCCAGCTTCTTTTGTTTCCAGTCCTTCCTAGTAGGACTGATGAAGGGATATGGTTCAGAATGGAGAAAGATCACATTAGTTAATAAATAGACTAGCTAAATAGTTAATATTAAGTTTTAAAGTTATATCCCAGCATCAATGTGGCTCCCCACAATGGCCTAGCAAAATGCCATATACCCATTTGGGACTAGACTGTAGGGAAACTAAATGATAGCAAAAGGAATCAAATCTCTAATCTTGGCTTCATCAGTTTTTGTACTCTAAGTTCTTTGCAATAAGCATTTATTTAAATTGAGCTCATTAATAATTTCTTTTTTTTATCACAGAAATATTCACTTCTTGTTCCTATTTGTTCTGACTTATAGGTTTCATTTAAAACTTATAATAAGAAACTTAAAGAGAGAAATAGTTGCCTTGGTTTCACTGTTTTGGTTCACAGTATAAATTTATAAAACTTTGCTTCTATAGTAATTCCAAATAATTAAAGCATACTTTTTATTAATAATAAAATTGTATGATCAAACTGAAACTTGGATTCTTAAAATTTTATTGTGGCATCAGACAAAAGGCAATCTTACCTAACCTCAGGAAAAGAATTTATTCTGAAGTATTCCAAACTAAATATTTCTGTAAAGCTATTGTATTTATTAGTACATATGTTTACTTATGTTCCTAGGTGAGAATTTTGATACTATTTCTTGGCAAAGATCCCTCATAGTAGTAAGTAAAAGCATCTTCAGCTCCTTTCACTCTTTGATAGATTTATGGCTTTTCCCTTACTCCTTAGGCAGCTGTATCAACTCTTCAAGAAATGGCACCAGGAACAACATTCACACCGGTCATTGGTGATTCATCTGTGGACCCAAAAAAGTAATTTGATGTGTATTTCTGTTTTCAGAGTTTTAATTGGTGGGAGAACTAGCTCATGTAAGGAACCCAAAGAGACCCAAATCTCCTACTTCATAATATAAGTCCTTTAAGTGAGCGAGGTAGGAGTTAACATATGCATGGGAGAGTGGACTTTGGAGGCATATGTTGCTTAAGAAGGCTTGCCAGGGTACTGTATATGTCTGAGCCCCACTGCTTTATTAGTGATGTCTTTAAATCTATGTGGTCTCCCCTTTCTTCTGATAAAATTCTCATTTTGAGGTAATTCTCTGTCATCTACTGTCTCTTTTCTACCGAACAGTGTTAAGAGTCTAGTGTTCTGCTCTGGAAAACACTTCTATGCCCTGCTGAAGCAAAGAGAATCTTTGGGGGCCAAGAAACATGCATTTGCCATTATCCGAATAGAGGAACTCTGCCCGTTCCCATTGGACTCATTACAACTGGAGATGAGCAAATACAAACACGTTAAAGGTAAAGGGTTCTTTGATTTGAAATGTCTGCATGTGAATGTTTTCTTGAGCTATCTCAAATGAAAAGAGGTTATGGGGCAGTGAGAGTTATTAGAAAACTAGAGGCCCAGTGCACGGATCCGGGCTGGCCTGCTAGGATCGGGCTGAAACTGGAGATTGAGCTGAAACCGGCTCTCCGATATCCCCCGGGAGTCCTGGATTGTGAGAGGGCAGTTCTTGGATGACACACCCCTGAATCAGGCTTCCTTCTCTGTGGTTTCTGGTACATCACCTGACAACTGCAGCTGCTGTCACTGCAGCTCAGAAGCTCCTGCGTTGAACATCTGCCCCCTGGTAGTCAGTGTGCATCATAGCTACCAGTCAGAGCGTCTGCCCCCAGGTGGTCATTACATGTCATAGCTACCAGTTGGACGGTTGGATGGTCACTTAGGCTTCTATGTATATAGATAGATTGGTTTTCATGGAATCTAGAAATATGAAAATAATACTTCTAGAGCTAGTGTCTTCATGTCTTTTGTGGTGTTTCTTACAGTCTCCCCTTCTCTCATCTAAGGCATCTAATTTCTTGAGATTTTGGAGGGAATCACTATCATTTATGACAAATCAACTATAATTGTAGAAGATAAGCCTTTCAACAAATGGAGTTAGAATAATTGGATATCTTATGCACCTTACACAGAAGTTAAATTAAAATTGACTATAAGCCTAAATGTAAAATATGAAGTTGCAAAACTTCTAGAAGAAAATGGAAGAAAATCTTTGTGACCTTAAGTTTGGCAAAAAGTTCTTAGCTATAACACCAAAAATATGTTCCATAAAGGAAAAATTGGACTTTATCAAAATGAAAACCTTCTGCAAAGAAAATAAAGGACAAGCCACAAGCTGGGAGAAAATATTTGCAGATAGATATCTGGCAAAGACTATCCAGGGTGTTTAAAGAACTCTTAAAACTCAATAGTAAGAAAATATATAATTCAATTTTTAAAGAACTGAACAGGCACTTTACCAAAGAACTAGATGGCAAATAACTATATGAAAAGATGCTCAACATAATTAGTGATAATGGAACTGCAAATTAAGTTAAAATGAGATATAAACATACCTATTTGAATGGCTAAAATGAAAACAAAAACAACAAATTGATGATATCAAGTGATGATGAGGATGAGGAGTAACTGTAACCCTCATTCACTGCTGGTGGAAATGCAAATTGGTTCTGCCATTGTGGTACACAGCTTGTCAGTTTCTTACGCAGTCATATGTAGAGTTACCATACCACCCGACAGTCCCGCTCCTAGGTGTTTACTCACCAAAGAGAATGGAAAGCATGTCCCCAGAAATACCTGCATGTGAATGTTTGTAACAGCTTTATTCATAATTGCCTTAAACTGGAAACAAACAAAATATCTTTCCACCATGAGTGACTAAAAATCTGTGGTACATCCATACTCAAGGTCATACTACTCAACAATAAAAGAGAGTGAACTATTGCTATCAGCAAAATCACAAATAGATTTTTCTAATTCAAGGAAGCCAGACCCATACTGTATGATTTTATTTACCTGACATTCTGGAAAAGGCAAAACTGTTGGGATAGAGGAAAGATCAGTGGTTGCCAGAGGTTGGGGGTAGGAGAAGGATTTGAGTACAAAGGAACAAGATGATGATAGAATTGTTCAGTATCATGGCTGTGCTGGTGGATACATTACTGTGTATTTGTAAAAAAAAAGACACTATGCCATGTTGGAAAAAAATGTGTGTGTATGTACACACACACACACATATATATATACACATACATACACATACACACACACATAGTATGTGTGTATGTGTGTGTTTTTATGTTGTATATGTTTACTTGAGGTACTGAGATGGATTTTCTTTTATAGATTTTATTTGGAGTCAGGAGGAGCCTCAGAACATGGGTCCGTGGTGTTTTGTTTCTCCAAGATTTGAAAAGCAGCTGGCCTGCAAGGTACTATCTCTGCCTTTCATAGTGTTCTTATATGTTGCTTTTCCTGGAGTGCCAACAAATGGTTTTGTCCCCTACTATCAATCCAATTCTTTTAAATATTAAGTAAAATATAACGTCTAGTTTTAGGCTGTTCTTTAAAAATAAAATGCTGAGTGTTTATCAATCTATGTGCACATATTAGTAGCATGTAAAAACAAAAAGTGACTACACTTAGAAAGTAAAAGCCCTTACCTGTTGGCTGCTTTCCTGCTAGCCTCCTCAGCATTCTTGTCCTCAAGGTCAACATCCAAGCCACGGGGAACTGAGTGATGAGCAGGCTTGTTTTACAACATGGGAGTAGAGAACCCAATGATGCTTGTTCCAGACCTATCCACACAGCAGAGATCCCTTACAGGCCAAATTCTTCTTAATTATGCTGCAGGAAGGAGAAAACAATGCGAAGAGCAATTGTGCTTCTGTTTTATCTTTCTATTCTGCTTAAATTAGAACTCTGTTCACTCATTTGATACTAATTGGCTAGGCCCAAATAATTTTCACATGTGAATAACTCTAATTTAGGAAACTACAGCTAACACCAACTAATAGTTACTGAAGAATAGAACAAATTTGAGAATTTATACACCCTTATTATGCCTGGAATTTTGTTGCTTTTTAGTTGTGACAATCTATTCTATGTAAGTCATTATTTTTCCAAAAAGGTGATTTTATATTAAAAAAGATAAGAGAAACACAGGCACCTGCTTGGGTGAACTAAGCAGAGTTCTGATTGGGTCACAGTGTCATTTTATTTCTTTTCTGCTCCAATGACAGCTCCGCCTTGTGAGCCGACCACCTTTGCCAACACCTGCTGTAGGAATTGGTACTGTGCACCTGCAGCAGCATGAAGATATCCTCACCAAGACCTTTGCTCAATGATGTACTTTGAAGAAATACAACTTCCTGTTAAGAAAATTGCCATAAAAAGAAAGACCTGCTTCCTCTACTCTCCTTTTTCCATTAGGTAACATGAAATGTCTGCGTTCCTCTAAGATGTTGGGACTGATTGGGACAGTTTATTCTGGAATTCGTGGAATAGCAATGGAATCAATATATAAATCAGATAAGTAACTTTTATCCTTACATATTCGATCATGTTACAATTTGGTTAGATCTGAGAGTTATAGAGCTAGGTCATAATCAAGATTTTTCAGATTCCACTCTTTCTCATTAACTGTATATGCCCAGGAAAGTTCTTTAGCTCGACTTTATAGCTACATATAGATTATCTCAACATTACCTCTAAATTTATTTGATGCATGTCACTTTCATTAATTTTCCCCTCCTTTATTCAAAGTCAAATATTTTCATTTATGTCGGTTTTGGTGTAGTCTTCCAGCCACTGTGAAAAATGTTTCACTAGACATTGTAGCAATACTATATTATTTCTGATTTCAAGATAGTTTTACCCATTGTCCTTAAGTATATTAAATACAAATTTCTGGGTGTGATCTTTTAGCATAGTGGTACTAAGTAAAGGAGTTTTTTGGGTTTTTTTTAAGTACATTTTTATTGATTATTTTTTAGAGAGGCAGAAGGCAAGAGGGAGAGAGAAACATCAATGAGAGAGAAACATTGATCAGCTGCCTCCTGCACAACCAGACATGTGCCCTGACTGGGAATTGAACTGGCAACCTCTTGGTGCATGAAATGATGCTCAACCAACTGAGCCACATTGGTGGAGCAAGTGAAGGAGTTTTAGGTACAATGAAATTGGTTTGTAGCCTGCCTTGCCATAGTATCTTTCTCCCCTAAATTGTTCTTGTAGTATTCAGATCCCTTTTATTCCCATACACCATAATGCTTCCTTTCTGTGTCAAGCCTTATAAATCATGTAACTTGGTGCCACTCATGTAAATCACTAAAATCACAGAGGTCTATTTAATAAGACTGGTTAACAGTATTGTACATCAAACTAGTAAAAAATAAAAGCACAGTGTCATTTTCAGATCTCTTGGTTTCTTAACTTAAAATTTTTTTAAAGTGTAAGACAAAAATTAAAGGGAAAACTAAATTTTTTTTCTTAATTTCATGTAGATCTCTTCAAGTTTCTAACTTTGTACCTCAAAAGTCTGTTTATGGTATCTTGTTACATCTTCTCCAACTTGAGCCATGAGCTGTGTACCTCATCCTCACAATCACTACAGCAACATGGGCCAGCATTTTGAATTTCCTTGCGGGAAGAGACCATTTGAAAAATTCCAAATCAAATGCTCCCATGATAAAATATTAGATTAAAAACATAATAACATAAAATAAAATATTTTATTTTATTCCTTTTTAATTTTTGATAATATGACTTTTGTATCCCATTTATATCTATCAATGCTAAATTTCAGAGTCAATGAAGATTACAGTTCAAACTGGGTATTCAGTGAATAGAATGACACATTATTCTTTGTAAAATAAAATTTTATTTCTTATAAGACCATTTGTTTTATTCAGTTTTTGTTTTCCATACATATACTATAAGGAAGCATGCTATATTCTAAAACATACCCTTTTATAGTCCTACTGTATTACTTTTAAAGTTTTATTATTTCTAAAAACATTTTTTTTTTACATTTTTATAAGAGGCATTTATATTTATAAAAGAAATCTCCATTTGTAAGGATGTCTTTCTATCCATTGGTGCATCTAGGTTAACACACCTTTGTTGCTGTTTTATTTTATTAAATCTTTATTACTGAAAGTACAGAGTCCCGTTTTCCCCTCATTGAACCCTTCTAGCCTGCCCTCATCCCCTGCCCCAGGTCTTCACCATCCTATTGTCTGTGTCCATGGATTAACACACATTTGTAATGCCTCTTTTTTAAAAAAATATATTTTATTGATTTTGTACAGAGAGGAAGGGAGAGAGATACAGAGTTAGAAACATCGATGAGAGAGAGTCATCGATCAGCTGCCTCCTGCACACCCCCTACTGGGGATATGCCCGCAACCAAGGTACATGCCCCTGCCCGGAATCAAACCAGGGACCTTTCAGTCCGCAGGCCGACGCTCTATCCACTGAGCCAAACGGGTCCCGGCTGTAATGCCTCTTTTTAGACCCCTCATAAGGGTAACTACCCTGAAGTGAGCACACAATTTTAGCTATCCTGCAATGGATAGAGATTTTCCCGCCTTACTTCCTCCTACTTTCACATAATCTTCTTTACATTCCCCCATTAGTTCCAACTGTATTTAAAGGGATGCAGCCTTCCCTCCCAGACTCCAGTTGGAAGGCAGTTCCCGCCTGGGTCCTCGCTGGTGGGTAGGTGCTGTGGGACATGACCTCCAACAGGCCTGGAGGAAGCAGGAGGTGCAAGAGGACCAAGTTCAGCAAAAACCAACTTCAGGTTCTTATCGAGGCCTTTGAGAAGGACCCATACCCTGATATCACTGTCCGAGAAGAACTAGCCAAGCAAATCCAGATTCCTCAGTCCAGAATCCAGGTATGGTTTCTGAACCGGAGAGGTAGACAATCAAAGGACTCCCAGAGGAGGCCCCATCCGGAGGTAGACGCTGTGGCTCCTGGATCCCTCCAGGATGCATTCCCTGCCCCTCGCCACCAAGGCCTCCAGCACCTCCCCCCCGACCCAACCACCCCCACGTGGCTCTGGTGTCAGAACTCTCCAGAGCTATGCCCACCGATTCTCCTGGGCTGAGCGTGCTTCTGGGCCAGCAGTCCTCTGGGGGTACACTGGTGTGCTGGGCGCCAATGTGGCCTCTCCTACCTCGAGGCTCCAGCCAAGGCCTTGGGGAAACCTGGGAGTTTCCATCACTCTCCATCTTCGGGATTCAGCCCTTCAGCTATGCGTGCGTTTCCTGCTCCCCAACAGCCCTTCCAGGTAGCATAGACACTCATCTGGGGGCCACCCAGGCCACTCATATATGGGGACTGGGCCCTGTAAGGGCAGGGGTAGCATTTTCCTTCTGATGGGCAGCAGCCATGGGGGGCTGGCAGCCACTGTCCCAGCAACCTGGAGCCTGGAAGCAGCCACCCCGCCCCCTTCAGCCCAGGAAGGCTGGCTGCATCCTGCTGAGACCAGATGCCTCAAGGAGGAGGGGGAGCCCCTAGCTGTTTGGCTCAGTGGACAGATTGCGGACTGAAGGGTCCAGGTTTGTTTTCCTTCAAGGGCTTGCACTTTGCTTTGCAGACTCAACCTTGTGGGAGGCAACTAATTGATGTGTCTTTCTGACACGGCAGTTTCTCTCTCTTTAAAAACTTCTTGCCTGTCAATAGAAACAATATCCCTCTCACAAAATTGAGGAAATATGGTTTAAAGAAATTAAGGATTACATAGGAAGTCACAGATTTAAAAGTGAAGACATTCAGGTCTTGAGGTTCCAAAAGCTTTACCTACATTTTTCTTTGATGTATCAGGATATTTGGTTTTCATCTTCAGCTTCTCATAGGGTTCAAGCTAAAACTATTATACTTTTGAGAAATTTGGATACAATGTTTAATTCCTCAATATTTATAACACACTATTTCACAAACAACTCCTAAATTACTCTATGGACATAGCAATTCGTTGTCATGTTTGTATTTAAATCTGAAAAAGCACAATCTAAAGCAGACTGTTATTTTCCCACTACCAATTATAAAATCAGTTAATTTTTAAAAAAAATTTAATAAAAGTATATTGCTTTAGTGTTGTTTTTCTTTGTCTCTTCTGGCTTTTATGGAAACCATCCATAATTGAATAAAAGTATTAAATTACATACTTTTCACATACATAGTAAGAGTAAATAGTATTTCCTCAATGAATAGTGTATTGGACACCTATTGCATATATGGCATAGTTCTTAATGCAAGGATATTAAAAACACATGGATGTGAAAAATAAAATGGGTTCCCCTCCATCCTCAAGGACTAACAATATGTTTGAGAAGACAGCATTTTACTTGTAGAGAGAGAAATGTTTTTGTTGGATGTACTAAAATAGTGTGGGGGGTTAGGGAAGAGTGATATTCCTAATAGATGTAGATTAGGTGGCATATGTGGTTATACAGAAAAAGTCATGAATAGTATGTAGTAGTAGAAAGACTGAAGAATGTTGGAAGGGCCGAAACCGGTTTGGCTCAGTGGATAGAGCGTCAGCCTTCGGACTGAAAGGTCCCAGGTTCGATTCCGATCAAGGGCATGTACATTGGTTGTGGGCACATCCCCAATAGGGGATGTGCAGGAGGCAGCTGGTCGATGTTTCTCTCTCATCGATATTTCTAACTCTCTATCCCTCTCTCTTCCTCTCTGTAAAAATTCAATAAAATATATTAAAAAAAAAAAAAGAAGTTGGAAGGGTAACTAAAAAAGTTATCTAGAGTGTCAAAGCTTATTCCCAGGCTCCTACTTGAAACATGGAGTTGTTCCAGAAATAGGCAGTAAGGAGAGGTGGGGTCTTTTCAAGTTAGTGCAGCTTACTGAAAGGAAGTTATACTCATGAAGTTCGTGCCAAAACTATATTTAAGTCAACCATTCACAGTTACTGTATTAGGGGTGTCGAACTCAATCAGAGAAGGGGCCAAAATCTAAAATCCAGCCTAAATCGCGGGCCGAATGGTTTACTGAACAGTCATAAACTGTCATTGTGATGGAAACGCAGCGGAGTGCAGTGATGACAGCGCGGTGCAGGCCACATTGCAAGGCCTGGCGGGACGGATTTGGCCCGCGGGCCTTGTGTTTGACACATGTGCTGTAGATGATATCAAAAATTAGGTGAGTCCCTCCCTGCCAACCAGAAGTTTATGTGAATATTTAGAGAAGTATGAAAATGAGGTAAAAGTAGAATGAGGTAAGAATGAAGTCATAGGACATGAGCTGATGACCACGGCAGATTTCATTTTCCAAAAGCAGTCATGGCAATATTTTGTGTCCCTTCTGCTTCGTACCTTGCCACACTCCCACTAGAGTTGGAGCCTATTTCCCTCCCCTCTTGAAACTGAGCAAGCCTTTGTGCCTGCCCGTATAAATACAATACACTGAAAGTCACCTCAAAGACAGGACTTGGCCGCCAGCTGCCAGGTTGTGAGAGAGCCCAGGCCACGTGGAGAAGGCCATGGAGATGCTGGAGCTGATAGCTTCACCTGAAGCCTGCTGACAGCCAGCTCCAAAAGCCAAACTTGCGAGTGAGAGCCTTCTGATAATCCATGTATTGAGCCTCGGAGCTGTCCCAGATGACCAAGTGGAGCGGAGACCCATGCAAACCGTGTGTGTGACACTGATTATTGAAGTGGTCAGGAGAGATTTTAATCGGTAATATCCTACTGCAATAGGAATAACGGTCCAGCTTAAACTCAACTCACTTTGATTTGTAGAGGCAACTGGGCAGTTTAGGAGAATGAGAAAACAGGGAGGAGGTGAGTGGGTGCTCATAGTTAGGAAAGTTGAAAATTTCAAAAAGCAGGAAGGAGGGTTTGGTTCACATGAAATACATCTGGGTTTGTTGACTGAAATTGATGGAAGTTAGGCTCCCACCTTCTGACTAAGGCTGGGAGACAGACAACCTACCTCTAGGTGTTGCCTGGAACAAGAGGTAAATTCTGAGCTTTCCCAGGCGGACATTTTAAGCGTGGGCATGGTGATCCTAGGAATGGAGCTGTCAGAAAATGTTAGTGTTTGTTCAAGTCTTTACAGGCTAATGTAAGGCCAAGTGAAGAAAGGGCTCAGAGGAGCCTGGCTAGAGTGTGCTCAGGGAGTGAGGCGCCCACACACAAGTATTTTTTTTCCTTCTGGTACATAGACCCCAAGCATGAGAACAGATCATTAGATTATGAGGCAGGGTAGTAAGAAGCTAGGGAAATTCCTTGACAAGTGGAATAAGGGAAACAGACAAAAATAATTAGACAATTTGAGCAGCTAATGAATCACAAGAACATGTTGTAGCAAATGGTTTACAGGTTCCAGACTATCCCAGGGCAGATGGGCCTCAGTCCCAGGCCCTCTTTAATAATGTTCTTTAAAAATAAAACCAATCAGAGGACAACCCT